ACCTTCGCCGCCTTCGTCGAGATAACCCACCCACGCCGAGGCTGGTCCCCGGCACATTTTTACAAGCATATACGTGCTATCAAAAACATGTAAGGTGAGCATTTAAAACTGTGCTATTCTATAATTAGAGAAAACGTAATGATAGCAAGATGTGTCATATCAAACTAGCCTATTCACCATCTCACCACTTTCGGCCTGAGGAAAAAAAAAAGACTAAAATTGGTTAGTATACTAGAACAATACTTCTCATTTGCTCTTTGGATCATCAACATCACCAGGAACTTGTTAGAAATGTAGATTTTTCAGTCCCATCACAGACATACAGAAATGGTAGGTCTAAGGATGGGGCTCAAGAATCCATAGTTTAAGAAGTTGTCCAGGTGATTTTGATTCATGCTAAAGTTTGAGAATCATTGTATTATAAAGTCCTATACTATTATATGTATCTCAAATTTAAGAAACATATATGCACATAATCAGAGAAATAAATGATTTCAAATAACTGCAAGGTGGAATACTATTCTATTAAATGATAACTTGGCCTAAGTACATAGCTACTTTTAGAAATATGTATAATTTATATACATACATACACAAGCAACCTCACGCTAATAAACGAGATTTGTTGGGACCAGCAGTTGGCGATGTACTCCCATGTAGTCGACTGCGGCTCAAGTCCCGGACCCGGTTGCTTAAACTCACACCGGGCACGTGAGCATGTGTGCCCAAGACCCCAAGAGGAGAATGGAGGAGAAGGGATTGCGGCATGGCCATTCCCCCTGGGGGGTGATTTCTTGCTTTCTGTCTCTCTTTCTCTCTCTTTCTGGTGAACACACACGCCCTATAGCAAAAATCTCTCAAAAAAATAGATAAATAAATAAACATGAGATTTTTTTTTTAAAGTTTAATTTTAAGTACATGATTTGGAACTAAGGTCACATTTGCCCTTTAGAAGTAATCTGATAAATCCTGGTTGAATTCCAGGCTAAACAACAAAAGCCTTTTTAAACCTATAAACACAAAACAAATTATCTGTAATAGTGAAATGTTTTTATAGAAAAAAAGAAACCAAAATTCTAACTCAGATCACTGGCAAGATTCACTTTTTCTACCACAACCCTAGTAATAAAAAAAAAAATTTCTTCCCACACAAGTCCCAGTGGTTTAAACAAACATTCTCTTCGTGCCCTCTCCTTCTGAAAACTAAACTGGAGTTGGTTCAGGAACCAGGCATAACTGGGACCAAACAGAGGTATATGAGGAGCTTCAATGAGAAAGAGGTAGAGGGCCTACGATGGCTCTGTGTATCTTGTTAACACAATACTGTATATTTATGTATAGAAGTTCCATAAGTGGATGTTTGGACTCCTGCTTACAAGCTTACAAAATGCTTGTAGCCAAACAGAATTTCAGAACAAGAGTTTTGAGCATTAACATTTTCACTTAAAAAGAATAACATTAGATGGGTGAATGGATAATAAGAAACTTACTATTTACATAGTCTCAAAGTATCTACCGACAAGATTGCTGTAATTGTAGAGAATCCTGCTAGTGATCACCTTAACCAAGTAATGAAAGTTGACTTGACCAGTATGAAACAAACGGACTCCACCTGCCTCCTGATATCATGTACTAGGAAAGACACAACCCTTCCCCCCTTTTTTTTGACCAGGCACTATTTAACATGAATTAGAATTGTTTTGTTATTAGAATTAGATTTTCAGACTATAAGGATCTAGACAGTAAAAGATTTTAGGAATCAAATAGTAAAACATTATTACTTTTCCTTTGTATATAAATATTTCATATAATAAGCTATATGTTTACAACCAACTACATTACAGATTTCTTTAGAGTACTTTTATACAATGTAAATTTGTGACATTTAAAACAATCTGCAAGGAACCTATAGATGGTGTGGTGGGTAAGGCACTGGACTCTCACATGGCCAACTACAGTTTGAGTCCCAAACCTGGCAATTTGAGAGTCATGCTTGGCATGTGTGCTTGTGTGCCCAAAGTCAAAAGAGAATAGAGAAGAAGAGATTATGGTGTGGCCATGCCCTACAGGGGATGACTTCTCATTTTCTGTCTCACTGTCTCTCTCTGGTGAGCACACAAGCCCTATGGCAAAAGCCTAAAAAAAAAAAGTTTTTAAATACCAGCCAAGTATTAAAAGCCAAGTCAGATATATTAGATATCAAAGAATTAACATATACTTTATGTTCATTTTTCTGTAGTTACTGTTATCTAAATGTAAAATTAGATTCAATCACCAAACACTGGAGAAACCTTTATTTGTGCTTATAACAATCTCTAAATATTCTTGGAGTTATATTCTTTTATACCTAAAAAGAAATTATTTATTCTTTTCAGCTTGAAGGCCTTGGCATAAAAAGTAAACTATAACAAAAAATACTACTAAATTAGAATTAATAAAAATTAAAATTGTTTCCTTTTCAAAAGTTAACAAAATGAAAAGGCAAATCAGACTGGAAAAAATGTTTTCAAAATCACATCTGATAAAGTTGCAACCAGAAAAACACAACTTAAAAAAAATTTTAACAAACAAGAGAAATAAACAGGCACTTCACTGAAGATGATTATAAATAGCCAAACACCTATGAAAAGATACCCAACATCACTAGTCATCAGGAAAATGCAAATTCAAAGTACAACGAGATACTACTATAAATCCATTAGAATAACTAAAATTTCAAAGAGTTGTAATACCAAGTATTGGTGAAGATGTGAAGCAACTGGCCAACTGCCTTCAGGAATATAAAATGTTATCCCCATTTTGGAAGGGTTTGAGAGTTTCTTATAAAGTAAAATATAAACTTACTCATATTACCTAGCAATCTCACTCCTGAGGACACAAAATGCATGTCCCCTAAAGACCTGTATAAGAATATTCAAAGCAGCTTTATTTATAATAGCTCCCAATTTAAATAACCAGCATGCCCATCAACTGGTGAATACATAAACAAATTCTGATATATTGAGATGATAGGAATGCTCAGTAATGAAGGAACTGCTGATATATGTAACAAGTAAATCTCAAAAGCATTTAGTACAAGGAACCAGATAGAAAGGAGTGAATAAAATATAATTTCACTAATATGAGTTCTAAGGAAAGCAAGTTATACTAACAGAGGCCTATCTGGTTCCTTGCTAGGAACCAGAAACAGAGTTAGGGAACTGCCTGCAAAAGGGTCAAGAGGAAATTCTCTCAGCTGATGAAAATATTCTATATCATGATTATGGGGGTAGCCATCCATGTGTTAAAACCCATCAAATTATACATTTAAAATAAGAAATTAACTAATTTAATATTCTACCTCAAAGCTAATTTTCAAAACAAAACATACCATAAACACTTCTGCTTGGAGCAGTGACTAGGAAGGAATACAAGGGAGACTAAGGTGCTGGTCCTGCTCTATTTATTTGGGTGATTGACATATGTTTAGTTTGGGAAAAGTCACTGAGTTTATGATTATGATTTGTGTGTTTTTCTATATGAATGTTTTGTTTCAATAAATGTTTACGAAGAGAAAAGTAAAAGAATGAATCCTCAACAATCTCAATGTTCAAGGTGACTTCATAAAATAACAGAAATGATGGAAAACTGCAGCCAAGAAAATAAGAAGACAAGCCAGAAAAAAGAACACTAAGTAACCACGAATTATAAGGGATTCAAAAAGCAGTCATTTGTCCAAAGCATATTTTTCTACATGGTAGACTTGAGTAATAAGCTAGCTATATTTGGGATAGACATATCAGGGGATTTCAAAAAGTTCATCACAAAAAACACACATTACAAAAACACTATGCATGAATTTCAAAAATATTTTGCATCAAAATTAATTTTTGTACTTCCCATTTTTCCATGAACTAGGTAAAGTGAACCTCATGTGAGTGTGTGTGTATGTGTGTGACTGTATAGGTAGGACATAATGGACTCTCCATAAACCTTACTTAACCTTTTCTTAAATTAGGTTTACTTTGTCTCTAGATATGTTCATAAGACAAGTATACTCAGAACATTTTCATTTCAAAATTTAGTTTTCTGCTTGAAAGAAAAGTCTTACTCACCTCCTTCATAAATGACTTCCCTATGCGCACCACTTTTGCAAATAAAATGGGATCGTGAGAAAGGTGAGGACCAAGGTAACAGAACATATTGAATACATCTCTCCTCAAATCTTCAAAACTCTCTGCTTGTTTTGGTGCTCTCTTGTTTTGCAAAGCATTAACAGGTGAGCCTTTAGCACCTTTAGGTACACCAACTCTAGAAAAAGAAGCAAAATAATATATTAACATTATATAATACCCACTTTTTTAAGTTAACACAGTCATCTTAACCAGTAAGTCAAATTTTTCTTGCTCATCTTTGCTTTTTATATTTCAATCATGCCTAACTAACTTCATTATACAAGAAAATTCTCAACTGGTAGAAAAACGTACAAACAATATTAGGGGAAAAAATCAGCTCAGAGAACAATTCTTCTAATTAACTGCTTAAGAAAAGGAAATTACAGAAATGCAGGTTTTAAGTAACATTTAATACACACACACCCACCCCATATAATGATTTTATTTAAACATGGTCAGTATCAAGAATTTGGATTTTAGATATAAGCATGAGGAATAAGAATAAACTTCAGAGACACTGGAAGGTGAAACAAAAAATATGGATATAACAGCATTAATTCTATCTGAGGTCCACTACTTAGACTGAGTATGATGGCAGTGGTGGTAAAGAAAACAAGCTACATAATGAAAGAGGGTGTCACACTAAAAAGGATGGCATGGCCAGAGTTCTCACCTGCTGAGCAGGTGTCCCACTGTGAAGTCACAGGGGTCACTCTGAGAAGAAGCCTTCACAGACAACAGCCCAGGTTGCACTGAAGGTAGCAGCCAGCAGCTATGCACCAATCATATGGCTGGAGCTTTTGAGACAGGCTCTAATCTATGCCAGGGCTGAAGTCAGAGCTGCTGCCCAGTAACTTGCAAGTAGGCTGAGGGCTAGAGGACGGGTCCACACAATAACTATGGATGATAAGGGAGTTTGCAATAGCAATTTCCAAATAGCGGCCTATATGCCAGGAGAGATAAGGCAGGCAGAGAGGCAATGCCCTCACTCAGAGCCACTCAACCCAGGATTGAGGGAAATTACACTAAGCAAAACCTTGGGAATTTTCAGCCTCCCCCTAGAAAGAGGAAATTTTGAATGTAAAAAGAAAAGAGAAAAAAAAAAAAAACAGAAAAAGAGAGTTTTTACTCTCTATAAAGCAAACCCTACCCTGAAGTCTAAACTATAGTTTTAGACTATGCAGCAACATACACTGTAAAATACCTGGTCTGGACATTAGGAGATAAGTCTGTGAACAGTTCCTTCTATTTTGAGGAAAAAAAAAATACTAAAACACAGGGTGCCAGTCCACAGTGTGGTAGTTAAGGCAGCTGGATTGCACATATCCTACAAGATTCAAGTCCCGGACCCAACACCTTGAAAAACACACTGGGACCATGTATGAATGCCCAAAATCTCAAAACGAGAAATGTAAGAGAAATTATCACAGAGTGACTACCCTCCTTGGGGGTGGGTGCTTTCTCACTTATCTCTTCTCTCTCTCTCTCTCAGCAAGTACACATGCTCTCTGGAAAAATTAAAAAAAAAAAAAAAACTAAAATACACACTTTATTTCAGGAGACAGGATAAATACATAGGGTTGGTTTTTTGTTTTTGTTTTGTTTTCTGGTTTATTTTTTTTCCCCCTAGTCTTAAACCATTTCTACCTCAATGATTACTGAAAAATGCATCAACATACCTTCGGTAGAGAGGCTCAATAGTTATGTGAATGAGCTTGCAAATAGCAAGGGCTATTAGCTTATGTGAAGCTGCATAGTATGGAGGCATCTGATCCATGATGTTCTGTGCATGCTGCCAATCGCCAATCTTCAACAAAGCTTCCAATAAACCAAGTTTTTGGTTGTCAGGTGGCTAAAAATGAACAGTAAGAGCAAAGATACTTAGGATAGAGACACCAAGAAATCTTAGTATATTTCACTTTTAAAATACTGAACTGAGGGCTGGCCTTATAGCTTGGTGGTTAAGGGAGCCAAATCTCACATGGCCAACTGTGGTTCAAATGCCAGCCCTGGTGGCTGAAGACACAAAGGATACATATGTATGCATGTTCAAAATCTCAACAAGATGGAAAAATGGAGACAGAATGTGACATGATCATATGCTATTGTGAGGTGTTTTCTCCCTCTGCTGAGTGCACATGGGCGCTAGTAATTAAAGAAAACTGAGCTGAACAATAAAATGTACATCAAAAATAGCTGTCACTCATGGAAAACTGAAGAGTATTTTCCTCAAAGTACAATCAAGATTTTTAGTTACTGAAAAAAGAAACAGTAAGATTTTCTTTTATATTCAGCAAAGGCATTATGGTATGTAGACTTGGAATTAAGCTCCACGTAATATTATATTGTGCCATGGGGAACTAGAATTTGTTCATTTTTGAGAACATCTTTAGAATTTGAGGGACATTAATGCACAGAGCACAAATACAGTCAATGTATTTTGTGATTTTACTTAGAATTCGTTTAAAAATTTATATAAGAAAAATATGGCAGCCTCTTTGGGAAGATGCCGTTCTGATTAAAATTAAAACCATTTTTGCAAATGGGTGTTACAAAAAAAAAAAGATTTCAGCACAATCAAAATTAAGAAATTATGTTTCCATAAATGGACTATTAGAAGTTAAATTTCATAATTCGAAATCCAGGGGAAAATGTTAATTTTATTTGAATGAATTACATACCTTCTCTACTTTGTCCTCCTCTTTTTCTTTTTCTTTCTCTCGTTCATCCATTTTTTCCGAAGATAACACAACCATTGTAAGTTTTCTAACAATTTGCTTTGCTTCTACAATTTCTCGTTTGTGTTCATCCATAATACAACTATCAGCTGGAAGGAGCTAAAAATATTTCATTAAAATGCTATGAAACAGCTAATACTAACTACTTGCTCACATGAAAAGCAAACACTAGTTTCACTTGATAAATCTGTAAATACGTATAGCCTATTCTCTCATTATTTTCTTAAGTACTTAAATTCTGCATACCTCTTAAAATCAGGTAGCCATTCAAAGTTTCATGTCTCCTGCTTGTTAGAGATACTAAATTAATAGTAATACTACGAAAGTGATGTTTACCATTGAGTTTATTAGTTTACCCAAGAAAATATATAAATATTCCATTAAAAACACTACATGTTTCCCCTTTAAGTAAAAGACTGCATACAGATCCAATCTAGGGAAGTGAGTCACTTTATTAAATAAAGGGGTAAATTTGAATGCTCTAAGTAAAAAGTCTTGAGTAGAAAAATTATTAATAACTTGACATCTCACTTTTCATCTTCTGGGTACCTACTATGACTTAAGTAGCAAACTACCAATAGTTTCTAGTTCATTTAAAAAGAGAAAGAAACATGTGCACAGTCAACTCTCCATTATAAAAAGGCCCAAGTACAGCCACCTTGTATGAGTGGAAGATTGTTAATGCAGATATTTCATGAAATAACCTTGACACAAAAATACAGCCAAGAATCATTGTGTAGCAGTTTCTGCTAGGCACTATGGTAAGCTATGAAAAAAGTATTCCTGCCCTTGAGAAACACATAGTCTATTTTAGTAATAAGTTTAACGCAAAGTAAATAATTTGAAATAATAAAACAAAACATAATGAAATATGAAATATTGTGGATTTTGTCCCATTAGAAACAGAAAGGGAGAGGGCTGGCCCCATGGTCAAGTAGTTAACGGAGCCAGATCCCACATGGCTGACCACAGTTTGAATCCTGGGCTTAGTGGCTTGAAAAATACACTGGATGTATGTGCGTGGGTACCTAAAATCCCAAGAGTAGAATGGAGAACAGACTGCAGTGTGGCCATCCCCCTGGGAGAGGCACTCTCGGCTCTTGCACGCGCTCTCGCTCTCTCCCCCCACCACCTCCACCCCATGAGAACATGCACCCTACAACAAAATTAAATTAAAAAACAAAAAAGGAAAGCATGTTGGGCCCATATATCTGCATGCTCAAGATACTGAGAGAATGGAGAAGTGCTCGTGATGTGACCACACCCCATGGGGGCTACTTTCTCCCTTTTTCTCTCTGTGGCCAGCACATGTGCCCTCTAGATCTTAAAAGAATAGAAAGAGAGACGAAAAAGTCACGATGGACTCGTGCATGAAAGTAGACAAGACATTTTTCCCCCTTCTCTGGCAGTCAAACACATTTTTATTGCTTTAGTAATATGCCTGGCATAGGTCTGCATCTTTCACCTGGACTTCTACAACTGCCTCTAATGAGAAAACGGTGTATTTCTTAGTTTTCTCATGTTCTAATTTTATGTATTTTGAGAATATGTTATTAGCTGCATGTCAAGTTAGAACTGCCTCAACTTCCCAGTGAACACAACTTTATTATTACGAAGCAACGCTCTTTATATCTTTTTGCCAGGGCCTATTAATAATAATAATTTCACTGCGACATTTTCCCAACCCTTATACTTTTAAGGTTTCTTTATCCTTAGGTTTTAGTTGTGTCTCACGTAAGCAATAAACTGATTTTTTAATCCCATCTGACAATCTTTTTCATCTTAATGCTTAGTCTGCCTGCATTTATTAATAAAGTCAAATACATCAGTAATAAATCTATTCTCATTTTTGTACTTTTCATTTGTTATACTAGTCTACACTTGCCTCCAAATTCGTAATACCTGTCTTCAATTATTCCCTTTTTCAGACTAGTTTTCCATATTGTTTGTACATCACTTCTCTTCTTTAAATCTTCAATGACTAAATTCCCAAGGAAAAAAAATTCAGACTCTCTACTATGTCACTTAAGACCCTTTAGTTTAGTCCCAACCTACTTCTAAATTCTCATTCCCCCTATATATGACCCCAGGCTCTGACCACCCTAAGCTTCCTAATTTTCCTCTCTGGGGATAATAAAACCATTTCAAACATCCTACCTTTATACTGAGTTAATTCTACCTATAAAGCTTTCTAGCATTTTAAGGTCAGACAACTCCTACTCATCTATCAAGATTCCCAGTTCAATATTACTAGTTTGGGAAAGTCTTCCAAAACATCCCCAGACAAGATATGGTCACTATCTACCCTGAGCTCTCACAGAATGAAGTAGTGATTATATCAAGCAAAATGCTTTTCTCCCTTGCTAGGCTAGGACTGTTTCCAAGGTAGTATCCAAGTTTCACTCAACTCTGTAGCCACAGTAAGCAAAAATAAGCAAGGAAGTTACAAAGTGAGTGCAAAGGCAGTGAGGACTATGCCAGCTATAGGCAGGTTAAGTTCATAAATATCCTAACGCAGGGACCAGCAGTTAGCGTAATGGCTATGTCGCTGGACTCCCACGTAGTCGACCGTGGTTTGAGTCCCGGACCCGGTGGCTTAAACTCATGCCGGCCTCGTGTGGGTGCGTGACCAAGATCCCGAGAGGAGAATGGCGGGGAAGGGATCCTGTCTGGGGGGGTGATTTCTCGCTTTCTGTCTCTATGTCTCTCTCTGTCTGTCTGGCGAGCACACGCGCCCTATAGCAAAAACCTTTCCAAAAAAAAAAAAATATATATATACCCTAACGCAACTAAAAAATTTAAATGAGAATTTCTCCAGCTAAGCTGCTGCTAAAGTTAATATTATCAATTACGACTGTAAACTCTTCTAGATCGTAGATCCAACAATAAAAGCAGAATAGTCATTTATCATCCAGTGAAAATGCAAAAGAAAAATTTTTCTACAAAAAAATTTAAAAAAAAATTCTTAGAATTTCTCATTTATCCCAAATGACTAAGATGAATATTTTAGAGACAAGGTAGAATTTCAGTAATCCCATATTTTCAATTTATATATAATAGAGAAGCATAAAACCCCACTGGTTAGAACTTTGCCTCTCTGAGATATGCCTTAATGACAAAAACTTAAAAATTCATATCCAAGCCTAAACTCTGTAAAGGTGGCCAAAAAAATGATTAAATTCATTCACTTTATTAAGTAAACACAAAGTAATAATATATTAGAGTTCAAAAATAAGACTTGAGAGCCCAAAACCAACCCTGGATGGCTGCCTATTCCTCCTCCCTACCCCTGGGATGGACAAATATTCTTAGCAGCCCATTTGACTTACATGTACATAAAGATCATCTAATTCAATAAGATTAAATTGAAGAAGTACTGCTGCAACTCTGTACAATGACGATGGAGTCTCACCATTTGGTTCCTTGAGGAAAAAAAATGTTTTCTCTTAGTGCATAAATTACAATTAAAACCATATCCTTTACCTACCGATAATTACGAACAATTAGATCAAATAACTCTAAGCCAAGAATATGCTTCATTGCTCTTCCTGATCATATCAAACATCTGAATTCAGGACAAAGATTATATTAACATTCCTTTTCACATTGTAGCATTTTCCCATAAATAAAAAGATGGCAATTTCAAAACAAGACACATTTTACAATGCATGTTAGTATTTGAATAAAATCAAACAACTGAATGGAATAAGTAAAAATATTAAGTCTGTGTGCGTGCGTGTGTTTGTGGGTACAAACTGTCTTGTTTTAAGTAATTCTCAGTGGAGAGGCAGACAGACAAGTCTGACGAATGTAGGAATGCAGACCCAACTATATTTGCTTTATATTTCTCTCCCTTATAATTTTATCTCTTGGGTTGTATGCTAAGTATATCTGCTTGTCAGCTGATTTCCCTTTTTAACTTGGTATTTATACATATACAAATGGATAAATGAATATTGTAAAGTATGGGATGGCAAAGTCCAGAAACGGGATTTTTTGAGACTTATCTGTTTAATTTTTAAATTGCTGGGGTCAGATGAAAAGAAAGTGAAGTGAGACTGAGGGACCAGCAGTTAGTATAATGGCTATGTCGCTGAACTCCCATGGTTCGAGTCCCGGACCCGGTGGCTTAAATTCACACCGGGCGCGTGTGCATGCATGCCCAAGATCCCGAGAGGAGAATGGAGAAGAGATTGTGGCGTGGCCATCCCCCCTGGGGGGTGATTTCTTGTTTTCTGTCTCTCTGTCTCTGACTTTCTGGTGAGCACACGTGCCCTATAGCAAAATCCTCTCAAAAAAAAAAAAAAAAAAGAAAAATCGCCTAAAAAAAAAAAAAAAAAAAAAAAGAAAGTGAAGCGAGACTAACTGGTAAAAACTGGCCAAATGTAAATAAAAAGTAAATAGTGATACACTACACTCCAATTCTACTCAACAATGAAAATGAGACCTCTGTAGGCTACTAAAGCTATCCAACAATCATGATGGATATCATGCATACAAAATATAAAGCTACACACCAGTACAAACCATTTTTAAAAGTCATTATTTCACTTTTCTTTTATGGCAGACAAGAAGTATTCAATTTAATAATAGTTTATTAATTCTGTTTCTTTATAAATGGCTATTTAGTATCAGAACATTTTCCCATCAAAACAAACAATGGTCAGGGTCTCAGAGCAAACTCACAGAAGCTCATTTAACTTAGAGACACCCTCTCCTCCGCTACCTGACTTGAATACACCAGGATCACTTTCATTATTCTTTATCCTTCTTTAAATGAAACAGAAGAAGCCCCAGACTCCCGGATGAATTGTCAACTCCCCCATTATGAGCTCATATTGTTCTGTGGCCCCTGGTTCTAAACTGAGTTTCTTATATGACACAGCTAGCCTATGCTTTTTTATACATTCTGCCAAACACTGTAGTTTAGTGAATTCATCTGTTTATATATAATTACTAATAAGGGCAGGTTTTTATAACTTTGCTGTTTGGTTTTGTCATATTTTTGTCCTCATTTTCTCCATCACTCCCACCTTTTGTGTTTAATTTTGTCTCTGTATGTGTACCATTTTGATTCTCTTGTTCTCTTTTCTACATTTTTTTAATTTTCTTAGTAGTTACTTTGGGTATTACAACCAACATTTTAAATGTACAATAATCTAGTTTAAATTAATACCAACTTAGCTTCAGTAGTATAAAAACCTCTACACTCGGACATCTCTGTCCCTTCTTTATACTGTTAGTCATAATTTACCTCTTTATACATAGTGTGCCACTTAACAGATTTATTGTTTCATACCTCTGTCTTTTAAATCATATAAGAAAAAAAAAGGAGTTACAAACTAAACATATAATAATACTGGCTCCAGTAGTTTACCTATATAATTACCTTCACCTTCTTTGTTTCTTCACATGGCTTCAAGCTACTGCCTAGTGTCCTTCCATTTCAGACTGAAGGACTCTCTTTAACATTATAGTGTAGTTCTACCAACAACAAACTCCTTCAGTTCTTATCTGGGAATTACTTAATTTCTCATTTTTAACAATAGTTCTGGGGAATAGCAAATGGCGTAATGGTTACATCGCTGGACTCCCACGTAGTGAACCATGGTTCGAATTCTGGACTCGGTGTCTTAAAACTCACACTGGGTGCATATGCATCCACACTCAAAATCGCAAGAGGAAAATGGAGGAGAAAGGATTGAGATGTGGCCATCCCCCCAAGACGTGATTTCTAGCTTTCTGTCTCTGTCTCTCCAGTGAGTGTATGCACCCTTATAGCAAAAACCTTTCTCTCAAACAAAAAAGAAGAGTTAATAGTTTTCTCTAATTACTTTACATATGCTATCTTACTACCTTTTGACTTCCATAGAGACAATCAACTATTCATTTCACTGAGAATCTGTGTACTTATGACTCATCTCTCTTACTGTTTTTAAGATTTATTTTTTTGTCTTTGAATTTCAATAACTTGAATGTGTCCCACTGTGTATCTCTATGAATTTATCCTGCTTGGTGTTCATTGAGCTTCTTGGATGTATAGATTCAAACTTTTCTTCAAATGTGGGAAGTCTTAAACCATTATTTCTTTGAATATTTAGTCTTTATTTATGTATAGCGCAAGAGTACGTTAAGAGAGAGAAGAGCATCTTAAACAGGGTCTGGTCTCACCATGATCCCCTTTCTCCAGTTTCTCAGGCACTTGTGTGTGTGTGCCTGGCATGTTTCAGGCTGACCAAGCCAGGGACTCAAATCAGAGTCACCGCGTGGAATCAGGCTTCTCTTGAGCAGCACATTATCACTGAACCATGAGCCAAACCTATTTCAAATATTCTTCTTTGTATCTTTCTCTCTTTTTACCTCTTACTGAGACTCCCATTATGCATATATTGGTACACTTGATGTTGTCTCCTTAGACTAAGTCATTTTTCCTAACTTTTTTCCTCTTCTCAGATTGGATAATCTGAGTTATCAATTTGGCTGATTATTACTTCTGCCAGCTTAAAACAGCTATTGCAACTCTCTAGTAAGTTTTTCATTTCATTTATTGTACTTTCAAACTCCAAAATCTCTCTTTGGTTCCTTTAAATGATTTCCATTTACTGATATTCCCTATTTAGAGACACAGCCACTCTCCTGGTTTCCCTTAAGCTTATAAGCATATTTAGGACCACTGATTTAAATTCTTTATCTAGAAAGCCCATTGCCTTAGCATCCTCCTGGACAGTTCCTACTAATTTCTTTATTCCTATCATAAGCAATACATTCTAAATTTGTTTGCATGTGCCATTATTTCTTGCTAAAAATTGTACATACTGAATACTAACTTTGTGGCAACTCTGGAAATCAGACCCTTCCCGCCTACCACCACCAGCATTTGTTGATGCTGCTTGTGGATTACTATTGTGTGTTTAGTGACTATTCTAAACTCTTTTTGTGAAGTCTGTATTCTTTGTCATGTATGGTCACTGAAATCTATGTTCTATTAGTATAGTGGCCAACTAGCATATTCATAATCTTCTTAAAGGCCTGGAGCAAAAAGAAGAGAGAGAGGAGGGAACAAAAGAGAAAAAAATATTCTCTAGTCTTTACAAACTGGCTGTTTTAGAGGCACTCCTCAACATCTGTCCAGTCCATTTACAACTCTGGCTTAATTCTTCACTTCCAGCTTGCTCAGAACCTGAACACTAGGGCCAGCAGGCGGTGTGGTGGTTAAGGGCACTGGACACCCACATGGCTGAACCCAGTTCAAATCCCGGACCTGGCAACCTGCTTTCTCACTTCCGCCCCTCTCTCTACCCCACTCTGTCCCCCTCTGGTCAAATTTAAAATAAATAAAGATAAATAAAATAATTATTAAAAAAAAAAAAAAACCTGAACACCAAGCAGAGGAGAAAGCCTATGTACAGTCTTCTCAGGCCTTCTGTTCAGTACACATCCAGCTCAGGAAATATACTTAGCCATCTCAATTTCCTGATGTATGTGAGAGCTTTTTAACAGCCCTTATTCCTCCACATATCTCCTTTTCTAAATTCTCCCTTCCAAGGCTTTTTCCCTTGCTCCAGGCTGCTTCAGCCAATGGTTGTACCTTTAAATCTATTGGCAAAAATTGCCCCAATCCTGGGAACACTCCCAGTCAGGAGAAACAAAGACAGGCCCTTATGCCAATCCTTCAAGGGTGCTTTCTCATTTTCCCTCTCTCCCTCCAGCAAGCACATGCACCCTATAGTAAAACCTAAAAAGTTTGAATTTCATCCTATGAATAAAAGTTTTAGAACAAGTGAAGTGTCTAGGGACCAGCAGCTGGCATAATGGCTATGTCACTGGACTCCCATGTAGTTGACTGCAGTTCAAGTCCCAGACCCAGTGGCTTAAACTCATGCCAGGTATATGTGCATGTATGCCCAAGATCCCAAGAGGAGAAAGGAAGAGAAGGGATTGCGGCATGGCCACCCCCGGGGGGTGATTTCTCACTTTCTGTCTCTCTGTCTCTCTCTTTCTCTTTCTGGTGAGTGCACACACCCTATAGCAAAAAACAAAACCTCTCCAAAAAAAGAAAAAAAAGGAACAGTGAAGTGTCTCAATTAGATCTTTTACAAAGTAACAGTAGCAATAAAATTAAAGTTGGATTGAAAGACAACCACAGGCATGGATTAGTTTGATAACTATTATAATGGTTTAAGTGAAAAATTATGTAAGATATGCCTTAAGTATTTATTTATAATCATAAAAAGTCCCAAAATTCACTGTCTATACAATAAAATTCTAACTCTTACCATGGTTTTCAGGGCCCATGACCATCTAAAATGCACCTATCTGTCTCATGGCATATCCTGTACCTATGTCACACAATCCAGCCATCAGACTATGGAACATTTCCCTTCAATCTGTTATATGCAGTCACACCTTCACTCTCACCCTGTTTGTGGCTCATATGTAAAAAGTCCTCAGTAGGAACCAGACAGTGGTACAGTGGTAAAATGCAACGCTCTACAAGGCTGACCTACAAAGGGAGGTTCTGGGTTTGCATTTAAAAACCTCCTGGAGCTCACTGGGCACACACATGCCCATGGTCTGGAGCCAGCTAGGGATGAATTGCAGCATCAAAACTCTATTAGGAGTGCTATTTCTCTCTTATTCACAGAAGGGGAAAAACAAAAAACAACAACAACAAAAAAACACATACACACACTCCTACTCATCCTTCAAGAATCAAGTTAAAAAAGGGTTAAATCTGGTACCAACAATTGGCGCAATGGCTATGTCGCTGGACTACCACGTATTCGAGTGTCATTCGAGTCCCGGACTCGGTGGCTTAAACTCACGCCGGGCGCATGTGCTTGCGTGCCCAAGATCCCGAGAGGAGAATGGAGGAGAAGGGATTGTGGTGTGGCCAGCCTCCCTGGGGGATGATTTCTAGTTAGCACCCCCCATGAGACAAAATCCCCCCCCCCCGATAAAAAGGGTTAAATCTATAAAGTCTTCCCTGGCTCCATCTCTCCTGAAGGGAAAATTAATGATGCTTTTTTCCAGGCTGTCACATCACATCACACATATTAATATAGTACTTACCCCGTCACATTGTTAGCTATTCATTTACCCATCTCCTCCGCTAAAATGAACTAACAAAACTAATCATTTACAAATAAAACTCAAATTATATTATACGTATAAAATTAGGAAATACATACACACACACTTTTTTCTTACCTGGTAAAACTTGAACTTGAACCCAAGAATATGACACAGTGTTTGCGGTTCACACATACTCATGTAAGATTCTAATAAAGATATAAAGAAGTCATCGTGTTCTGGTCTGCATTCAAACACTTCTAAAATTACATCCAAAACTCTATTGGGATCCAGATTAAAGCATCCTACAACAGATGAGATATACATAAATTCAAAAATCATTATATATCACTCATAGTAAAGCCATTAACTTTTAGGGATAACTTACATAGCATGATAAATTTTTGTTTATTCTTTTACAAGTTTGCTTTCCCTTTCCCAGAGGAAAATCTTCATAACTTTCAAGATAATAAAGTCCATTCTACCCATTTTACAAATGAGAATATCATTTGCCCAAGATCACAGAGTGGGTTCATGGCAGGCCCAGAGCTAGAGCCCAGGACCTGTGACACTACCCAGGTAAACATTCCCCTATGCCATACTGTCTAAGTAGTTCTTGAATTCTCAAGCTTGTGAGAGAGATTCATATTATTAATTCTTAGCAAAATATGAAACTTAAACAATTTTAAAATTTAAGCAACTAAAACTTTTTTTTTAATGTTTTAGGTAGATGTATCTGGAATGTTGATAAAAAGTTAAAAGTTCAGATTCATGGGGGCTGGCAGGTGGTTAAGGGCACTAGACTCCCACATGGCCAACTGCAGTTCAAGTCCCAGACCTGGTGGCTTGCTTTCTCCCTTTCTCTCCCTCTCTTTCTCTTACTGTCTCTCTCTGGTAAAATTAAAATAAATATAAATAAAATTGAACAAAATAATTCTTAAAAAAAAAAGTTCAGATTCATGAAAGTGGACCATCCCTTTCAGAATTCCTTTTTAGTTTATTTTACATATACAATAGAGCTAAAAAATATCATTGCACTACATTTATGTATTTGTTTATGGCTTTTAGTAGTATTCTAAAGGAAAAGGTGGGGCACTACAAGACACTAAAGAGATCAGAGAATACCAAGGGAGTTGGGAACATAAAGAAGTGTAAATGACACAAGCAAAGAGAGATGAAAGAAAACAGACAACCTTGGTAAAGCAGGAAAAAAGAGGAAAAGGGAAGGAACGAAACGTTGAGTCCATGTTCATAGCTACTTCTCCTTGCCAATCTCTTAGGGTGTGGTAAAAAGAGCTAATGGACATGAATTTCATGGACATTTCTACCAGCCACTCCACTCTTAATACATTAACTTTATTCACATTCGACTTTAGCTGTTACCATAATTATATATAACAGTGCAGTCACATCATATGTACACTTAAAATATTATGTAAATTCTACCACTTACACACAGAAAGAGAAAGAAATTATTTAAACGACATAGGCAATTCCTCACATCATTTATCTCAACAAAACATATGTTTACAACCCAGAGTGAGCATGAGATATCAATCTGCTATTCCCTCAGTGTATGTCAGTTCCCACATGCTTTGCATCAAGCTGAATAGCATTGTAGTATTTTAAAATATGTATTTTCATCAGACATAGCCCCTAAATGCAAGCTAACCACTTCACTGGGCCAGCAAATTAACACCGATTTCTTCTAATTCTGAAGGAAAAAGGAACTACTGAATTTAGATGGCTATATTAGCTTTAGACACTTGTACCTTATGGATGACTATGGGGATTTTTCTAAGAAAGTTCTTATATAACCTATTCCTGCCCTCACCTTTTTATCATAGGGGATCTCCAGAGTTACTTCTATTAATGCCACATTAATTCGTATTACATGCTATAAAAACTCATGTCTGTTTCATAGTATCTTAGCAAAACCTGCAACTACAAGTATTTTTCCACTCTTTCTATGAGATCTGAATTTAAGAAAGCACTGTCTTCTATCTCTCATACTTTGGAAAAAAGGACTAAAGCAATGATTATATCTTACTGAAAAGAGCTCCACATTTTCATCTTTCTAACTTCAAAAAGATATTTCCCTGAACTTCTGGGAAGAAAACTTCTTAAATACTGTTCCTCTCCCTGTATCTTCAAAAAGTATTGCCTATGGGACCAGCAGACGGTGTAATGGTTACATCACTAGACTCTCACGTAGTAGACCATGGTTTGAGTCCAGACCCGGTGACTTAAAACTCAGGCACATGTACGTGCATGCCCAAGATCCCAAGAGGAGAATGGAAAAGAAGGGATTGCGGCATGGCCATCCCCCCAAGGGGTTATTTCTCGCTTTCTGTTTTTCTATCTATCTGTTTGTCTCTCTCTCTCCAGCAAGTACATGCACCCTACATCAAAAAAATAAAATAAAATAAAATAAAATAAAATAAAATAAACATACACACACATATATAAAAAGTATGGCCTAGTAATATAAAGTGACTCCACAATAACAAATAGAATCCTTAAATAATACTAATGGAAATATAAAATGGTACAACCACTTCATAAAAATAGCAGCTTCTTTTAAAGTTAAATTTATACTCACCATATGACCCAGCTACCCCATTCCTATGTATTTACCCAAGAAAAATGAATGTCTATACTAATACAGAGACTGGTAAACAAATGACCCTAGCAGCTTCATTTGTAATAAAAAACACAAATGTCCATCAAGTGTGACTGTATCTGAAAGACTTGGGACCAGAAATATTTCAGATTTCTGACCTTCTTCAATTCTGGAATATTTGCATATGTATCATGAGATATTTTGGTAATGGGACCCAAGTCTAAACATGAAAATAATTTGTTTCATATACGCATAGACTGAAGGTAGTTTTTACACAATATTATCTTGAAGCATTTAACCATGACCTGTCAATAAAGTCAGATGAGGAATTTCCCACTTGTAGCATCACTTCAGGACTCAAAAAGTTAAGAATTGGGCCAACAGGTGATATGGTGGTTAAGGCGCTGGACTCCCACATGGCCAACCACCACTGAAGTTTTCTCTCTCTCTCTCTTTCTTTATCTCTCTCTCTCTCTCTCCCCCTCTCCCCCTTTCCCTTTCCCTCCCTCTCTCTCCAGTTCAAGTTCGGGACCTGGAAGCTTGCTTTCTCGCTTTCTCTCTCTATCTCTGGTCAAATTTTAAAAATAACAAGTAAAATTAAATAAAAATCATTATTTTTAAAACGAAAAAAGTAAAGGATTTTGGATCATTAGGAATTTGTAGATTAGGAATGCTCAACTTGTATAATTGTAGTATATGCAGGAAATACTACTCTGTAGCAAAAAGGGAAAAAGTGCTTCTAAGGAAACATGGAATAATCACAAAATAATTATGCTGAAACATACTAGATCAAAAATTAAAATACACTACACACTGTGTGATTCTACTTATAGAAGACAGAAAGCAGATCAGTTGTTGTCTGGAGAGGGAAGAAAAGACAGTAAGGGGGAATAAATACAAAGAGCAAGAGGAATTTGAGGGGGATTATAGGAATGTACATTATCTTGTTTGTAGTGAATGTACATTATCTTTTTTGTGGTGATGTTTCCACAGACGTATACATGTTAAAATTAAAAATGTGTGGGACTGGCAAGTGGTGTGGGGATTAAGGGTGCTGGATTCCCACACGGCTGACTGTAGTTCAAGTCCTGGACCTGGCAGCTAGCTTGCGCACATGCTCACTCGCTCTCTCTCTCTCTCTCTTCTTTTTCTGTATCTGTCTCTCTCTAGTCAAAATTGAAAAATAATAATAAATAAATACTTCCTTAAGAAAATTCAAACTGGGGACCAGCAGTTGGCATTATGTCAGCTGGACTCCCATGTAGTCAACCACAATTAGAGTCCTGGACCCAGGGGCTTAAACTCA